TGTTTCCGAAACCACTGGAGACAGTGTAGCGCAGGAGGCTGCATGGATGAGATGGTTGCTGGTCAGGCATTACAGACCCTCACAGAGCGTGGCTCAGGGACCCCTGAAACGCACTGGTTCCCCCTCCGCCACCTAAACCCGGCCAAAGGGAAGCCCAAGGAGAAAACATCAGCAGTTCGTCAGTGGTTATGCTTACGGGATGGAACGGTGGTAAATTTTTTTCCTTTATACTTTTTCCTGTTTCTCAAATCTTCATGAAAATGTACTGTTTTCACAGTAAAGGTGATCATAAGACACGCACCCGTAGGTAAGATTGTTCGGAGGAGTAACGGCGTCTTCACTGTGTCTGTGAGCGTGACCTGCTGCGGCTGCAGCGGGCCTTCACCGCGGGAGAATCGCCTGGGTCTCACTGCGCCCCCGCTCTGCTCTCTTTCAGAGACTGGACCCAGCGACCATGAGGAAGCTGCAGGCCACCGAAGAGACGGGTGTGCCCGTGTCCAGGAACGGCTTCCTTTCGGGCCTGAAGTCTCAGAATGGACACATTCCTCCAAAGATGCCCTTGGGGTCCTCTTTCCCCCGACTCTCCAAAACACCCACTCCCCTGCCGACCATCCTGGATGAACCTGGAAAGAAAGTCAAGAAGTCGGTTCCCCTGCAGCACCTCTCCCCGCCCCTCAAAACTTCTCAGGGGTCCCATGGTGCCAGCGGCAGGTGTGACAGCCACAGGCCAGGCTCCTGGGACAGCAGGGGTGCTGTCCTCTCTACCTCACCCAGGCTCCCGCCCTCAGCGACTGCCAACGGGCACAGGCCTGAGGGCACCGCCCTCGACAGGGAGGACTCCAGCAGTTCCAGTCCTGAGCACTCTGGGAGCAGCGACCCCGCCCAGGCCTCCCCAACCCCCAGGAGCGGCGCCCGCTTCTGCGACTCTCAGGGAAGGACCTCCACGGTCGGCCCACCCAGGGCACCGCTGAATGGCGAAGACTCGAAGGCGGTGAAGCCAAGGTCCCCCGTCCTGAGCAATGTCGCCACTGAGCCCACAAACACCATGTCTCCTCCACCAGCCAAAAAACTGGCCCTTTCTGCCAAGAAGGTGTGTGTGTGGGAGTCTCACGGTCGGGAATGTCAGGCATCTCCGGTTTGGGGGAGTGGGGCCCCGGGCCTTCCTGGACCGGAGGAGCAGGTGGTTTAGGGATGAGGCAGGGGCAGGGAGCCCTGATTTCCCGCGGTCACTCGGCTGACAGCGGCCTGGGGTGGGCAGCAGGTCTCCCTCCTGTCAGTGGAGGAAATGGCTCCAGAGGGAGACTGGGGTGCTGGGCTCGGGGCTCTGAGCGTGGGGGGGACATGGGCCCCGCAGGACATGGCTGGCACCTCTGGTGGAATGGTCGTGCCTGGATTTTTGTTGAAATTTCCTTCCTTTTTCCTTTTTGTTTCTAACCAAAAACACTCTGATTCTTCTTCCGCCACCCCTGCCCCGTCCCCCTCCCCCTCTTGTCCCCTCATCCTGCTTCCTGGACGTCTTCATTTGTTTTTTTGTTGTTGTTGGTTTGTTGTTTTCTGTTTTTTACATTTACTTCCCTCCTCACTCACGGAAACCTTATTTAGACCACCAAGTTTTTATTTATGTCAATAACTGCAGGCCAGCACCCTGCGGAGGGCCACCGGCACTGACTGTGCGCCGCCCCCCCCTCCACTCTCCGACCTCACCTACCCCAGGAAAGCCATTCACCCTGCCGTTGCCTGCGCCCGGCCTGTCGGTGCCACCAGGTGAGCTTGGGCGTGGCCCCGCGGGGCCGGCTGCTTCTCCCCATGGTTCGCACGAGCGCTGCGGGGTGACCGCCGCGGGAAGGCTAGCGCGGCTGGACAGGTACAGGGCGCCGTGTATACCAGGGTCTCTGTTCCACCTGGCCAGGGACCTGCTGCTGTTCAGAGGCTGTGTGGTCTCTGCACCTGCCTTTTGTACTTTCGTCTTTGTTTTCCACCTCCCTGCCACATCCCTGTGTGACTCAGGTGTGCTGTGAACAGATCCGTCCGTTGGGCCCTCTCTGGCCTCAGTACAGGAGCCCACAGGAGGAGAGAAGGGCATAGCTCCAGACAGACCCCGAATGGGCCTGGGCCTGTGAATTTGCTCCCCAGGCCCATCTCTGAGGAGTGACTCAGTCTCCTTGGCTCCCCAGAGGGCCCCCCGTGGGAACTGTCCCTGGTCCTGCCTGCTTCGAGCTGGTTTCCCGAGCAGGCTCTGTGGGTGCTCCAGCCCCTGGTAGGCACCCTTCCTGGAGGTTCAGGTCCCCCCTCTTGGCTTGGTAGACCCCACTCTGCTCATCTTACCTAGTGTATTGAGTGGCAGAAAGCTGGGAATGACTGATAAATGGCTGGCTGAGGGGCCTTCGAGGCCTTTGGCAGCTGGGGAGGGAGGGAAGGAGGGGCTGCTGTTGGCCCTGTGCCCGATGTACTCTCCCACTTGGGGAGGCGCTGGTGCATGTCCCCTCCCCCAGTGCCCCAGCCACCCTGTCTCACTGCACACCACTGTCCCCAGCACAGTATGTTTCCACATGGCAGGTTCTTAAAGATCTAAGACCGTTAGTGGGTAGTTATTCTTTGTTTGACGTTTAATCCCAGAAAACACAGTAATGTGTAGTACAGCTTATACGGGCATCCCAGCTTCTTCTGGTTCAGGTGGTGACGATGACAGTCCTGTTTACTTGGTGACCCTCTGAGACAGGCATCCTGGTCAGTCATTTACAGGTGGGAAAGTCCCAGAGTGGAAAGTTCACCTTTTCAGGGTCACGTAGCAAGTGCGATGGTCAGAGTCTAACCCGACCTGGTCCTAGACCCCGCCCCGTGCTGGTCTTGCTGTGTGACCCACCCGTACGGTCTGCTTCCCTGCTCTTCCTGAGCCCCAGATTCCAGAGGAAATCGTAGTTGGAAATGTGCAGGCCCGCACTGGCCTTTCTCACGGGCCCCCTTCCCGTCCTGAACATCCTGAGACTCGTGGGGGCTGGGAGTGTGTTGCTTAGTGACGCTTTCCTCTATTGATGTATATGCATTGAAAATTAAAAACATCAGAGTTTGCAAAATTACTATGAGCTGGTGACAAACGAAGAGAGGTGGGAAAGTAACAATACAGTGATTGTTACCAACTTTGATCTTGCCTAGATCTGAATTTCATTAGCCTGTTTCTTTAACTTACGCATAGTTTATGTCGTCTGAGATCCACAGGGTGACCCTGGCTGGGGGGAAGGGGGCTGAGGGTGGGCCTGGTCTCAGAACAGCCGTCCTCACTGCCGGCCTGTCCTCACAGGGCTGTTTCACCTGCTCCTGGACCGTCCAGCCTCCCGAAGCTCCCCCTTGGCCCCCACTCCGCCACACTGCCCAGCAGCCCCCAGACTCTCAGGACGTCGGGCCTACAGAGCCCCACCTCTGCCTCTCTGCCTCAGGTCAACAGGGGCTTCCGGGCCCCCCCACACCAGCTGCCAGAGGCCACTGAGCCCCCCCCGAGCCTCTGTAAGAAGAGGAAAAGGAAGCACCCGGGAGAGAGCCAGGGGCCGGGCTCAGGGGTCGGGGAAGCCGCCGCCCCTCCTGGGAAGAAGCGGAAGAAGAGGAGGCGGCGCCCAGAGGACGTGGACCCCTGTCCCCCGCCGGAGGGGCCGACGCCAGGACCACCCGGGAGCCCCGAGCGCAGGAAGGAGGGCCAGGCACAGCGCCCGGCGGCCGGGCCACAGGAGGACGGTGGACAGCGGCTGGTGAACGGCCAGGGCCTGGTGAACGGCTGGCAAGCGGGATGCAAGACGGAGGGCGCCCGCGTGCGCAAGAGGGAGAAGGGAGCTGAGGGCCTTGGCGGGGCAGCCGGCCTCCTCCAGGACCCGCCTGGGCGCAGGTGAGAGCAGGGAGCACAGCCCGCCCTCCCGCCAGCACCCCGCCCGCTCCCGGGTGGGTCACCTGCAGGTGCAGCGCGCTGACCGATGCGCGTGGTCAGCAGCACCCAGGCCCGGCCAGCACTGCAGGGTGGCCACCTGGTCCCCGCTCTGTAGGGCTCACCTCTGCCAGGAGCTGCGGTGTCCCCCGTGCTTGGCTGTGGTGTGGCATCCCCGGGCCAGGCTCAGGGTGGTGGTTCTCTGGGTGACTGTGGGTTGAGGTGGTGCCAGTTGAAGGGAGGAAGGTGTCTCACACTCAGTTTGCTGGGAACTGGCTGTTGACTCTGATGCCCCAGGAGCTGCTCCCCCTTGGACGCCGTCAAGCCAGAGCCCACTGTGCCATCTCCGAGGAAAAAGAGAAAGAAAAAACGAAAGCCAGAGGCTCGGCAGGAAGTAGACGAGAAGGAGCACCCCGAAGGCTGGAGGGGCGCGAGGCAGGGGGGCCCTGCCGTCCCTGGGAGCGATCCCGTGCCCACTGTCAACGGCCAGTGTCCTGGGGACCTCGCAGGTGTGCGCGGGGCGGGGCCCTGGGGGCGAGGGATCTGGGAGCAGGCCCCCCATGTCTAGAGGCAGGTGTGGGACTTACCGGCACCTGCAAGCGACTTAGCCCCCCACCCCACCCCCGGGCAGGCGGGGAGAGCTCCCTTTTAGACCTTTAGAGCAGTTGCCAGGAGCACGCTCTGGAGTCCTGCTCTAAGTAAAGGGATAACCGCTTCCCCAGTGGTGGTTTTAAATGTACATCAAAGTGTCTCTGCTTGCAGGGCTGGACCAGGCTCCCCCGGTATCCGGCCACAAGGAGCGAGGCTCCGACGTGGTCTGGGAGTTGCTCGAATACTCGTCTGATAAAGCCTACGGGAAGAGAGGTGCTGTTTCGAGCCTGGACTTTGGGGTTATTTGGGGGTGGAGGTGTCCTCGTGGATCCTGGTGCACCGTGGGTGCAGGCGCCACTGGCTTAAAGGTGGGGAGAGCATCTAAATGGTCCTCTCCAACCCCTCAGCCACTGCACCAAGGTCCAGAACTGGTCCCCACGGGGGGTCTGTGGAAGGGTCCAGAACAGCTTCTCCCTGGGCTGGGGGTGGGAGAAGGCAGACATGCACCTTTGGGGGGCAGGCCAGGCGGGAGGGAGGGAGGGGCGGAAACACTTGTCCAGCACCCATGGTGAGTTCTTACTCCCAAACTTGTTTTCATAACTCAGACTCTGAGAAAGGACATGAGATCCTTGTTTCTCAAACGAGGCCGTGGGTTTAAAAACAGCTGCACTTCGTGGAGGGTGGGGGGTGGTACAGGGTAAAGGGGGTCAAATTTATGTTGAAGGAAGATTTGACTTTGAGTGGTAGGCACACAATGCAGTGTACACACGATGTGTCATAGAAACGTACACTTGAAACCCACATACTTTATTAACCAATGTCACCCCAGTAAAGTTAATTTAAAAAAAAAAAAAGACAAAAAATAGGGTGGCAGGGAATCCGGAGGTGCCAGCGCTCACGTGTCTGTTGCAGTTCTGACGTGGGGCGGCGAGGTGTCGGCTGTTAGCCAGGATGCTATTCGAGACAGCAGGCTGGCCCGCGCCGCCACCGTGGTCGACGACTGGGATGAAGAGTTTGACCGTGGGAAGGTACAGTGTGACTCGACCACAGGCTGGAGCTCGGCCACGGGCGGTCAGGGAGGGCCTGACGGGGGCAGCTTGACGTGGTTGGGGCCCAGACTGGAGCCAGGTGCTGGGTTCAGGTACTGCTTGGCCTCTGTGGATGTGGCCCTGGCAGGGCATTGGTCCCAGGTTGCTTCTGTCCTTTTGTCTGTGAAGTTGGGATGTGGGGCCCCCTCCAGGCGACGGGAGGAGTAAGCCTGTTGATAACGTCTCGCATTGAGGTGTGTCGCTCATCGTAGCCACTGGGACCAGGAACAGCCCTTTTTGGCAGTTGTGACACCTGTGATTCTCAATACAGGAAAAGAAAATTAAAAAATTCAAGAGAGAAAAGAAAAGAAATTTCAACGCCTTCCAGAAACTTCAGAATAGACGGAACTTTTGGTCTGTGACTCACCCAGCCAAGGCCGCCAGCCTCAGCTACCGCCGATGAACCGCCGCTGTTGGGATGGGTCAGTTTGGGGCATGAGTCGGGTGTGTGTGTGTGTGTGCGGGTGTGTGTGTGTGTGTGTGCATGTGCCGTGGAGTGGGGGGGGTGCGCGAGTGGTATGGAGTGGAGGTGTGCGTGTGTGTGCTGTGGAGTGGGTGTGTTTGGTGTGTGTGATGTGGGTGTGTGTGGTATGGAGTGGGTGTGTTTGGTGGGTGATTGTGGTGTGGAGTGTGGGTGTGTGTGGTGTGCGTGGGTAGGGGGTGTGGAGTGTGGGTGTGTGTGGTGTGCGTGGGTGGGGGGTGTGGAGTGTGGAGCCCTCCAGCCACTCTTGGAGGAGGGAGGACCATGCTGTTTCCCAGCTCCATCCAATGCCCCGTGTGGTTCCTGTTGACAGGCACTGGTGGGTGGGTGCAGGGACTCTCGGTGTCCTTTCTGTGTCAGAAACACTATTGTTTGCCCGCAGACTCACAGAGATGGGGTGTCCCTTCCTGGGAACTGCTGCATGGACTCCTGGCTGGGTCACCTCTGGGCCCTGAGCCGGGCCCTGGACAGCCATGAGAGGATGGCGCACGTGGGCTCTGGCTTCTGTGGACGAGTACTCCGGTGACAGCTCGCCGGTGACCAGCCACACAGTGACGCGTAGCACAGACAGCAGCCCCGGCTGGAGGCCTGGACGGCAGTGTCTGGTCTGGGCCAAGGGAGAGAGCAGAGAGGATGGCGGCCACTCTTCCTGTGTGCTCGATCCAGTGCCCTTGGGGTGACCGTGTGTGGTCGGTTGCTCTTGACGAGCCTTCCGTCACCTGTTCCTGGTGGCCGGCGCTGCTCTCCCGCCTGCGCCCTGCCCTCCTGTCTCCTGGGCAGGGCTCTGTCCCTATGCCTTCCCTGTCCACCCTCAAAACGCCAGGGCCCGAGGCTGGCCCACAGCGCATCGTGCTTTGCAGGGAACTGGACCCTCTCTGGGGGCAGGGGGCTGTGTGGGGTGGGCTGGGGGCTCGAACTGTTGAGCTGACCATGTGCTCACCAGGCTGCTGGCTCTGAGGGTGCCTCCCGAGCCTTTCCGTGTAACCACAGTAACCGTGGGTCCCTATCCAGGTGGGGGTCTTCACGTAGCTGATTATTTTGACCAGGCCTGGGTCCCGTCAGCAGTGGGTTTCCTTTCCTCTCCCCACATGCACATGCTGGCTTCCTTCACTCGGTTGCGTGCTTTTGAATTTAGATGGTTGTGTAACTGCAGATCACTTTCTACCTTGCTCAAGCCGTGCCTGCAAACTTATAAATTAGTAATTACAGGAAATTCTCAGTCCAGCTGATGCTTTCCAGAAAAAAGACACCTGCCCCAGGGGTAGAAGTAAATCTGGAAGCTCCTCCTCAGCGCGCGTCTCGGCTCCTTTCTCTGGGACCTGCGCGGGGAGCTGGACCGAGGGCTGCGTGGACTGTCCCCACAGCAGTCCTCAGCCCAAGGCTGAGCGGTGCCCTGGCCTGGCCCCGAGCCCCTCTCCCGACGGCCTTGCCCTTGCTCTGCGGTCCGGTGGTAATTAAATGTTATATTTTTTATATGGGGAGGTGTGTTAACTTTTTCATGGGGGTAGTTTTTGGTTTTCCTTTCTGTTCATTTTCCCTTTGAAAAAGTGGGGAGGGTGATACCGGTGGCTGGCCCTGGGGCTGCCTCTGGTCCCGAGAAAGCGAGGGGGCTGTGCAGACGCTGGTCCCGAGCTTTGCCCTTTCTCTGAGGCCTGACCTCTGCTTGTCAGCCACACCTGTTCAGAGACTCGGGGCCCAACCCGGCGCTTTGTCACTTGTCACCTCCAGAGAGGAGGCAGGTGCCCCTGTGGGCAGGACTTGCTCCCTGTGCGGTGCAGTGGGCTGCAGACCCTCCGTCCTGTGGGGACCGCCTCCCAGCCATGCTTGTCTGGTGTCCTGTGGCTGAAGTAGAAGAGTCCATTGTGTGCTAGAATCTCCCCTTTCGTTACCGCCCTCATCTCCTCCAGATCAGGCCCTGTCCTGTGTCCCCTCCCCGCACCGTGTCACTGTAAAACCTGAGGGAGTGTGTCTGTCACCGTGGGCAGTGCTGAGCCCGGCCTGACTGGAGACAGCATTTATCACTGTTAGAGGCCAGCCCTCCCCTCCCACAACGTCATCTGCCAAACGGGCGGGGAAGGGCGGGCCCAGAAAATTAGTCCAAATTCTAAGTGGTGTGTACATATGTAAATACATATAAGTAACCAGGGCTTTTATAACCACGGCCCCTCGGCTGGCTTAGAACCTGGGTTTAATTTAACTGTTTAGAGTGGAGGGGAGGGGGGCAGGGTCTGTAGGAGGGGCCACCCCGCCCGCCTCACCTGCTTCTGCCGGCCAGCGGCTATCACCTCTGCGGGCAGGTCTGCGCCCCACGCTCCATGCCTCCGCTCCCTGGGCCGAGGAGCCCCAGATGTGGCCAAGATCTTGGTGCAATAAAATCACGAGGTATTTTGAGTCCTGCCTGTGTCTTTGATTTTTAAAAAAGGTAGATCCTGACCCTCATCTGTTTTCCTCAGTTCCAATGACGTGTTGCCCTCTGGACGTCCAGGTGACCCATGGGGAGTGGGACTGGTCGCCTTCAGCTCTGGTGGGAACGTCTAAGCAGGTCTCAGTTAAGAATAAAGGCGGACAGAGGGGCATTCGGGTGTCTGAACAATACGTTTACTCAGGGTTAAGGAGACGGGGCTCCTAACCTTTGTGGGTGATTTTTCAATGACTGTGTTGAGGAAACTGAAACAGTATCATTCCACTAAGGTGCGTTCAAATTTTCTTTCACTGAAAAATGTTTGGGTTTCTGCAGGCAAAGATGAGAGACATAATCGGCTTCACGAAGCTGCGAGGCCTCACGGTTGGCATGAGCAACGCAGGCCTCAGTGTGGGTCCCCCCGCCCGGCCTATGCGATGAGCAGGGTGCCGCAGGGTGGTCAGCGCCCACCAGTCCCTCCTGCCCCGCGGGGGCAGCCCAGCCACTTCGGGCTTGGGGTGGAGGGTGTGTGGAGATGCTTGTGTTTTGCGGGGACTGGAATTTACTGTCCACATGAATTTAATTTGGGCTCGTGGAAAATTGCAGGTTTTGTCAGCCTGGGCCGCACATCAATGTTTCTATCTCTCTCCCTCCTTCCCTACCACACTCTCTAAAACTAAAAAAAGGTAAAAATTCGAAAACAGTGAGCAGGTAATTGGTTCAGGTGTGTTTCCCTGAACCAATCAGTGGCTTTTTCGTGACTGCTGCTGAATGAAGGCGTCACCCGTGCTGACAGTTGGGGTCATTGAAATGTACTTTATGGGGTTTTTTGCTCTTATGATATTAGAAATGATCCTGCTTTATGTACTTTTTTCTCCCCCTCTACGTGTATTTCTCTGCTATTTTCTGTCCGCAGTTAGGCGCCTCCCAGTGGGCAGGGCCCGGTACCCCAGGCACCCAGGAAGTCTGTTGAACAGCAGAACTGGGAAAGCTGCGTTAGGAGCGTGGTCTGTGGCCGTGCATTTAGACTCTGCTCAGAAAACACCACCCCCTAAAAAAGGGGGACATCTGTAATACTTTCAACAATAAAGATAAATTTAAAAAGCCACCCCTTCCCCCATCAATGTCACCACCTCGGAGATTCTCCCTGCCCCAGCTGTCCCTGACGTCGCCTTCTCTGAGC